CTTCACTCTAAAAAATCAGACAAAAGCAAAAAACATCGGCATGGCTACAGATCAGTGTCAGCTCAAAACTACATTAAAATGGATACAATATGTTGATCAATAGCTGTTGGTTAATTCCCTTTCTCTGATACCATGAATACATTAAGGAACTATTATACCCTTTGAATTGAATGCTTAGTTTATTTTTTTCTCTTTAATAATGATCATAATGTTTTCACCTTTTTACATGTAGCTCAATCTTTCAGTTATCAAAGGCATATTGGTGACATTACAATTCCATCTCTCAGTTAGAGGCTTAAAACCATAGACTCTAAATATTTCTTAAAACAGAGAAAGGTTTTAAACTGTTTTACTGTACATGTTTTTTTTTTTTTTTTACTGTTATTACAAGGCTCACAATCCCAAGTGTTTTTGAGCTTTTGTTTAACTATTGTGACACAGAAAAAACTGAAAAGACATTTTACAGAGAGTTGTGGAATAAGTTGCATAAACAGATTTAGCATGATAGAATAAAATATGTATTTATTTGCTCATTCAGAACCGATTCTAAGTGCAGAATAAGTGTGAGTTCAGTGCAACCTTTTGGTTTGACACAGTCATGGTTGGTGCAGGATTGCGATATTGGCTGTCACAGTTGTAATGTTTTTTTTATTCACCACTGAATGTTACTATTTCTGATAAAGACCACTCCCATCTTTGTATAGTAAGCTATCTGTAAACACTGAACATTCATTATTATTATTATTATTATTATCTATAATGTGATTTTATCTGCATTGCTCAAGCCCACCAAGGTTGTGGTGGGAGGAGGAAGTGTTGATACATTATTCATTCGCTGCATTATATAAATTGTTGTAAATGAAATAAAATCAATGAATGAGCTGTTGACTAAAGGCAAAAAAATACCCAGGCAGTGAAGCGGGGGGAAAGTTGGAAAACTTCTGTCGCACTTATAAAGATTTTTTACCAGTGTGTCCTGGTAATGAATCATTGTGGGCCTTTATTGATGAAATGTTGACATTTAATAAATCAACAAACCATATTTTCCACCTAATAGTATGCAATGGCCTTATAGAAGCATACAGCGTCACTGTCTATTTACATACAATTCAACATTAGAAAAGGATTAAAAAAAAAAAAAACATAGTCATGTGTCCCTTAATACCCCCCACCCCCTTTAGTCCCATCAATAACGATGACACATCACTTATCTTTGTCTTTGTTTGAAAGGCAGCTCATGGTGTGTGCCAGCTCTCTCCTTTTGGGACTTATAGGAAATGAACCGCCGCTTCTCTCAGCTGCCTCATCATTTCCTTCATAATTATTTTCTGAATGTTTCCCCTGCCTGCATTTGAGTCTTTTTTGTCTTCCCCTTTATGTCTCTACATATTAAAGTATTTGCACATGTGCAACTCTACAGGTGTACTTCTATACTTTATGTAAGGTTCCTGGTATATGTAAGAATACACCTTACTGATGTGGTTTATGATTTATTTTTTATTTTAAACACTGAGAGCATAAAATATATGGTTCTGAATCTGTTCCAACTAAACTCCTATTGCTTTTCATTCCTTTGTTATAAAAATACGAGAAGGTGTCACTGTATCCATCTTTTGTCTATGCTGATGACCACCCATATTTCCCACAATGCTTCAGTCACATGACGACTGTAATCCAGCTTGTGACTTAATCAGCTCCTAAACCCTCAGAGTGCAGATTAGCAAAGGAAAAGTACAGAGTAGGAGACTCTGTAAGCACTGGGGCTTTCCTGCTTCCTATCTTCCATCATGGCTCTCTACAGCTCCATCTGTTACTGCTCACATGACCTCAGTTAACCTGAAGACACCTCAGCAAGTCTTTCAAGAATGAAACTTTTTATAGGAGAAAAAAAAACAACTTAGACCTGAGAGATATACAGCAAGATATGGAATACCTGATTGCATGGTTGCTTGACTTCGTGTGTAGATTGCTAATACCAGAGAGAGAGACATATTTATCTATAGATATTACAATTTTTGCTAAATTAATAGTGTTAACAGAAGGATGAAGGAACAGGTCTACATTCCTCCCACCCACTACACTAATGAAAGGCGTCTGATCCAACCTTCACAACAGGGCCCCAAGTCTCTAGCTACACTCTTCTCCTCTGTCGCCACCCGGTGGTGTAACGAACTTCCAAACTCCATTCGATCTGCAGAGTCCCTTTTCACCTTTAAGAAAAAGCTAAAGACCCAGCTCTTTCAAGAACACCTACGCACTTAATGATAGTATTGATAACAATAGATATGATGATGATGATGATGACAAATGTCTTGGTTGATAATGACGATCTTAGGATAGTTTTGATGCTGATTAGAACTCTCAAGAACAGCTGTCAATGTTGTGCTTTGCCTCTGTAAATTGACTGTCAGCACCTGTGTGTCCAATCAGACTTAAAGCTGTTTGTTTGCACTTACTGACGTTGTTTCCTCTTTTCTAGATCCTTGCTTGTGTTGTTCTTACTCTCTGATGTACATCGCTTTGGGTAAAAGCGTCTGCTAAGTGAATTGTAGAATTGTACTTTATATTTTAGTATATATATTATCAATTAACTATTAACAAATTGTCATGCATTTAAGTACCATCTTGGATCTTTATGTCATTATGTAAGAGGTAATGTATAGTGAGCGGGTTGTTATCACTTCCTCCATGATAACAACCCGCTCACTGTACATTATCCCACTTATTACATAGCTGCTTATTAAGGAACGTTACTATTTGAAACACAATATGGATAGAGAAATGGTTTTATTGATTTAAAAATGATTTACTTCTTCTGCTAAACAAATATTGTTTGCAATCTATAGTTAGATCTGTTTCCACAGCAACAGTTAAACTGTAGCCTTCATCAAATGAGTTAAACTAGCTGTTATCACTCACATGAAACTAAACATTTCCACTGTTGGTGAAATGAGACACAGTCAGAATATTTCACTGAGATTTGGGTAACAATGACAAAAAAAAAGCCAATATGCTACTATGCTTATAACAAACCAGTTAAGTGTTAATAACTCGTTTGTTATCCTGAAGTTAATATGAAACAAGTATCTGTAATCTCTGTGTATATATTGGCCCTGCACAGAGAGCATGTCCCTAATTACGTTTATTATTATGTCTCCAATTATTCAAAATTATTTTCTTCAGTGTTTAGAACAATATTTTGACAGGAACTGTTTACCTAACAGAGCTGCATAAAACTCGTCATCACAGCTCATCCTGTATGGCCTCATTTCACTGCTATTGTATGTGTTTTTTTCTTTTATACTTCTGTGATTAAGAATATATTCCCCATGAGCAACACATGTGCCTCCATGTCACTGAACACCGAAATCTTGACCGCAGCGTGTTTAACCAAACCACAGAAACTTTTGCTGCCATGATGAATTCAAGCCGTTTTTTTCTTCTGAAACCCGAATGGTGTCCATGTTAAAAATAGAACATCATCTTGTCTCGTGCCCATCACCGTGCCTAATTATGACTCTTTGTGTGTTGCACGTGCATAGCCAGTGATCCCATTTCCTCCATGGAAACAATAAAGGGTTATGAGAAGGCGTCAACAGTAAGCCGGTCTCTCTGGTAAAATGAATGTCTGGTGCTCATATCCTCTAATAATGTGTTATATTTGTAAGCAGCCTTTTCATGCCTCTGCTTATTGTCCCCAAAGAGAGAGAGAGAGAGAGAGAGAGATAGAGATAGTGACTCACCTTATTCCCTAAAGTGAAACTGATCCTGTGATGTAGCGCTGCATTGTGAGAACCATTTCAGTGCTGGTGTATGTTCAGAGTCTCAGAAGATAAAGAGGATAAAGAACATGTTTTACATCACAGCAGTCCTGTCGTACATGTTGTATTCTTGTCAGACTGGTTCTGATAATTGTAGTCACTGCCTCGTGTCTTTCTGATTTTGACTGGACAAGCTTTTGTGCTTTCTAGAGCTAGTAAACCTTCAGGTGTCTGTATGCTAAATATAAAAGCCATCACCTAGCTTAACTGAAAGACACAACTCCCCTATGTTCATTGACCAAACAGCTGAGATATTACATCATTGTTAGTGAGCTCTAGAGTTGCTTTGAGGTGGATTTATTTACTTTAGTACGCCAGGCTAGCTGTTTCCTTTGCAGTATTGCTGCCAAGCTAGGCTAACTGACTGCTCAAATTAGCCTCATATTCAGTGTCCAGACTTGACGGTGGTATGCAAGAGAGTCAACAAGTTTGTATTCTGAAAGTAAGATTGTTTGTTAGTTAAGGTCTTGGGGTTTTTGGTGTCACACTTCATTAACAAAACTGAAAAACATTGCTGTGCTAATAGCTGTTAACTAAAGCAGAGAGTTTGCCCGAAGCTCAATCTGGGTTTCCCTGATAAGGGTTTTTATCTTGATGACAGCTTCTTATCTAAGCATGTCCCGTAGTTTGTCACATTCAAAGTCTCAAAAACTACTACATTATTTTTGGACAAACTATAGGCTACTTGGATACACAAGGGAATAAAGATTTTCCTAAAATGTTGAGGGGTGGCATTGTTTAGCATTTATAAACAGAGTGTTATGCTAATATTTTAAAGGCTATAAAGAATCATAAACCTGCACCATAAACTTGAATGACCTCGAAAGCTGCAGCAATGGATAGCTTGAAGCAATGCTAACAAATTACGGTGATGAATCAGTGTAATGGATAAACTATAATTAAATGTCAGCATATTTAACACAAACACAACTGGTCTCAGATACCTCTGGTAAAACTTTAATTAAACTGAAAGATTGATGCCTTTGGTACTCTGTTTTAATGTTTTTTTTTTTTTTTTTAAACTAAGTTCATTGTTAATTCCTATGAGATGCTGTTAAAGGCCTTAGGTGCCGACGCAGAAGTTGTTCTGTTCAAGTTGATTTTGTTTCTGAAACTTGTATTGGCTCATTCTTCTAAGAGGATATTTAATCACAGTTTCACTCCTTTTCTCATGCGCAGGAGAACCACTGTCGCAGGATTAAGATCCTGGGCGATTGTTACTACTGTGTGTCCGGCCTGACCCAACCCAAGACTGACCACGCCCACTGCTGTGTAGAGATGGGTCTGGACATGATTGACACCATAACGTGAGTGTTCAGTTTTTTATGAAGGAGGATTCTTGATTAAGATCTTGCAGTACTTTATAATAGTAACATTGTATAGTATGACGTCATCACTGTAAATGGATGGCAATAATAGTTAACTGTCCGTCCATTCAACTCTCTGACTCTGAAGCCAAAGTACCCCCTTGCGACAGGTACTAACATCTTAGTCAGACTCTAAGTCAGTGTCCGTGCAATGGAGATCGACTGGTGGAGCCATGGTGTGGATGTTTCATCCCTTTAACTCCAAAATGTAACTTACTGATAAACAGCGAAGATCACTCAGCTTTCTTAAGAGACTGTTGTGTTCGTTTTGGAGCAGACACTATCAGTTACAGAAAGTTCAATGACTCTAGCGTTTGTTTCCTTTTCTCTCGCTGTGACTCCTCTACTCTGCTGGTCCGATGCACACTGTGCACACTCCCTATATAAGGCATCGAGAACTTCACTCAACAGAAGTGTCGGGGGTTACGTCAGTATAATAAGAACTAACTATAATGACAAAAACCATATGTGAGATTAATGTATTTTTTGTGTATTACAGTTATAGTCTGACTCATGTCCTGTCCGTTAACATGGAGGAGGAGAAGCTTAGAGACTATATTGCATCCTGTAGTAGAGGGAGCTCAGATGTTTTGTTTTCTATTTTAGGGAAAGTGTCATGTCGCCAAGGTTTCAATACATTCTATGGTTCAATAGAATTTGCTTTGTTAATGGATTTTGTAGAAATTGAATCATTTTTCTAAAATCTAACTCAACAGTCTATTTCAGTGAGTTCATGTTGAGAGATTTCAATAGGGAAAACCACAGCCTTATTGTTACCCATGTGGGCTGTGGGTGAATTCTAACACTGAACATTTGAGCAAGCAGGGCTGCAGTTGGCAGAGGGAAAAGGCTCTATTGGAGAGAGAAAATAAGGGATTTTATTGAGCTTGAAAGAGCCTGTTTTCCCCTCACATCACTTATATAGTTTGGAAGGCAGAGGGTGAGGGATGGAGATGCAGCAGAGGATTAAATCAGAAAAATGTCATGACTTGACTGAAAGTCTGTTAATTAGATCACACTTTCTCCTCATCACCGATTAAATAGAAACGCTCAAACAAAGCAGTCCTTTTGTTCTTTGTTCTATTTTGGTGTGTTCGAGCAAGCTGTTTGTTTTCTCTCCACTTCTTGACAGATAGAATCTTACAAGGAATGATTCTTGCTTCAGATTTTACGTCGTTCTTAATTTAGGATGTGCATGTCACATGAACTGACCTTGATTAAGAATGAAGTTTGCTTTAATTAAAATGTTGTTGTATAGCAGAGCTGTTAGATTGAACACTGATGACTTCCTTTAGAGCCCATAATGGAAACTAAAATACTTTTTAAATTCATTAGGGGCTATGCTCATAAAAGGTGCATCTACAGGTATCAGACATGATGGTTAATCAAAAACTAAAAATATTTATATCGAAGTTTATCTAAACTTTAATGACACTGGGTTTAAGTTGGGTGTGTTTAAACTCAGATAATCTAGATGATCAAGCAAAATTAAATCTTCTACGCCCTCACAGTCTTGAGAAATGGTCTAGCAACAATTACAAAGCTTCAGTGAGGAGTTTTTAATTAGTAATGAAAACTGAAAAAAATTACCGAAGCATCTATATGATCTGCAGAAGCAAACGAGACCATCAGTAACAACATGGATTATTACTTTATTGTTATGTTCAATAGAGCCTGACCGATTAATCGCTGATAATGACAACCAATATTTGCTTATCTAGTGACTCTCCGTATCGGCTAATTTTATCACAGATATACGCAGAACTAGATTTATTTACCTGTCAAATACGATTTCATTTGAGTTTTGTTGTATTACACTAGCAGTTCTCTTTCTGGCTGTCAACAGCATAATGAGCTATATGAATTAAATCAAGCATTATCGCTCTCCAGAGTGTCAAGCGGAGATGCATGTACATGTGCAGCTACTCTCCAATTGAGTGACCATCTATCTTTTACAGTGAGTGTTTGATCCACATATGCAATACATGTATAAATCTTTTTTTTCTCCCCGATATCGATATCAGTATTGGCCCCAAAAATTTCATAGCGGTCGGGCAATCATTTTCAATGCCTGAAACAGTTACCGCAAGGTAGGTGTAGGACAAAGAAGAGCTGAAACGTGTGCTGCCAAAACAGACTTTTTACATTTTCGCCCGCAGAGATTCTCGATGAGTGAAATGTTTGACTGTTAAAAGACAGCAGGATGAGATTTTTTTGGGGGAAAAATCAATACTCACACATGTACATGACAAAATAAGCAAAGAGATAAATGGCACTCCTTTGTCCACAGGGGGCACCCATACTGACACAATGTTGCCCACAGGAGATGTAATGTTTTATTTAAACCATGTTTGTAATAGTTCTGAACGTGTGTCAAAAGATTTTGCTCAGATCTTTGTGAACACTTCAACACTGATATCAAATATGCATTTTTAATATTTCAAGGTAAAATCCCAGAGGCTTAGAGATTTATCTATTTCAACAACCAATGATAAAAGCAGTTGTTTTACATGCTCTCCTTTAAGTATTTATAAAACATAAAAGGTCGAACTCTTAGCTGCTTTGCTTACATAAAGTATAAACTTCAGCGTAGAAAAGTCTGTTCACCAGTGAGTCATAGATATGCTAATCTTATAACAGCACAGTGCTCATGTACATGAAATAAACACAACAAACATGTGCCCTAATAAAGCAAGTAAAGCATCTTGAAAGGCACTCTTAATGTCTTTGTGTTACATTTTAATGCATGTTGTTTCTGTGCTACCTCATGATGCTCTGCCTCATTATAGATTCACTGCAGATATAGATTTGATATGATCTCTTTACCTCACTCTGACATGTGTTGTGCCCCTGCAGGTCAGTAGCCGAGGCCACAGAAGTCAACCTGAATATGCGTGTGGGCTTGCACACAGGTCGGGTGCTGTGTGGAGTGCTGGGCCTCAGGAAATGGCAGTATGATGTGTGGTCCAATGATGTGACCTTAGCCAATGTGATGGAGGCTGGAGGACTTCCAGGGTCAGTACTAGGTTTATTACATGAATAACAGCCTGAGCGGGATAGGAACACAAATCTTAGTCTTCTTTCATTGTGGTGTTCTAGAAAGAAAAAAACATTTTTAATGATTATTATATGATCTACATTGATGGTTGAAATCTAACTGTACACTATGGTATTAAATTATGGGTGTTTTAAAACAGACATCAACCGTTTGGTGGAATTTCAGATTTCTGACCTTATTTTTACAACCTTCTGCAAAACTTAACTTCAGATGCCCTGCTCTGACCGTCCTTTCTCCACAAAATGACATTAATGTACGACAAATATATATAGTATATATATATCATACATCTTAAGGAAACCAAAATGTTAATAGAATAATGTAACTAGCACGTTGCAAAAATGTCGATACAGAACATGTCAGTATATTATTTAGTAGTGTTGTAGTACTCAAAATCGGTCTTGGTCTCATGACCACTTTTTGAAGGTCTTGGTCTTGTCTCAGAATTGAAAGTATTTTATTTCGGTCTTGTCTCGGACTGGGTAGACTCCAGATTTTAAATCAAAACCGGTCAAGACCACCACCGATTTTTTCCACGTCTTCACTGTGATTAGAAAGAAAACGCCCCTTTCTAACAGAACAAATAACTTCAATTTATTAATAATTTCATTTATTTCCCCCCGTGACGGCTGCAACCGTCCCGATGTTATAGTCTAAGTGAGTGACAGGCCCAATGCACACAAGATGAAGATTTCTTAATTATATTTATGGTCTTGATCTTGTTCTTGACGAGGTCTCAATCCCTAAATGTCGTGGTCTTGTCTCTTTCTCGGAGCACTCTGGCCTCGGGTATGTTTTGGTCTCGGTTAGTGTGGTCTTGACTACAACAATATATTTCACTTGTTTTCTGCAAATAAAAGGCACTATATAAATCCAAGCTGTATTATTATTATTATTATTATTATTATTATTATTATTATTATTATTATTAATAATAATCTTGCAATACACTATCCACACTTACAGTAGGACCTATAGCATAATACAACGTTTTATGGTTATGTTTCATACAGAGCAATTTAGCAGCGACTTTTTGAGACTCGACTTTAAAAAAAATAAAAATCCAAACGATAACACAATCAGTTGTATTATCGTTGTATCTTAATTTCTAAGAGGAGTCCAAAGATTTTCCTTTCAAACGTTATGAGAAAAAAAAAGTAATATTGCTCACTGTTTTCCTCAGGAAAGTCCACATCACCAGATCTACGTTGGAGTGCCTAAATGGAGATTATGAGGTGGAACCTGGAAATGGACATGAAAGGAACGCCTTCCTCCAAAAACATGAAATTGAAACCTTCTTTATAGTGCCATCTCACCGAAGGAAGGTACCGTATTGTAATTCTGCTCTGAGTAATGTGTGCTTAACATACTGAATATTTCTTTGAGCTGTAAGCAAGGGAAGATGACTAAGATGACAGCATCAGCTTTATCCTCAGACGACACTTTTTGTTTAAACTTGGTCTCATTTGGTCCTCTTCTTACCTAGACGGTGCAGTAAACACATAATGACTGCAGGCTGCATGCTCATTTGTATTAAGTTCAACTACTTTTCCTTGTGATTCAGAGTAGACTCAGTTCTAAATACAACAGGATTATTCTGTGTTTTCTCTACCATGCAGATACAATAATATAATTGACTTTAGCATCCAGCGTCATATGAAGGAGCTCTCACGCATATTTTACAGAGCTGATCTCTCTTCCAGCCCTTAATGGATTGGGACTGGGGCTGTAGAGACTACAGAAAACCAAAAAAAACAGCCCAAGGCATCCATCATCTCAAATCTGCACAGTTCAACAAACTTACAGAGATATACGTGTGTGTCAATGATTGCACATAAACACGCACATCTTTAACCGATGTTGCAGCCGGAGAGGGAATTTCAGTCTTGTGTTTGCTCTCGTCTCCTCTCCTCTCCTCTCCTCTCTTCTCCTCTCTTCTCCTCTCTTCTTCTCTCCTCTCCTCTCCTCTCCTCTCCTCTCCTCTCCTCTCCTCTCCTCTCCTCTCCTCTCCTCTCCTTCTCCTCTCCTCTCCTCTCCTCTCCTCTCCCTCTAGAAGCAGGTTTTAGGTTATGCAATACAAAGCTTGTGCATAGGAATCCTTATGTGAACCTGTAACATCCCAGTTGCGTGTTTTATTTTCCCTTTGATATACGGGAGACTTTGCTAATCCGCTTAATAGTGCTGTTGGTTAGGCTTCATCAAAGACATGGCACACAGATAGATACTTCCTCACTAAGCTGTGTTAGATAGGCTTCTGCTCACTCTTGCTTTTGTGTCGTTAATTACTCCTGCACAGGGACACATTGCCAATTTTGTGTATCAAACAAACGTATGTTTCCCACTAAAAATGACCCCTCCTCATACTCTTTTATACTTGTTAAGTGTTTTTGAAATAGCTGATATAAAGGACAATCAGGGCCTAACCCACCTTATATGAACCTCTTTCTAGTTAAACACTAGAGCCTGATAATAATGATTGCATGCATGTGTGTCTGTGTGCATGAGCATGTGTGCACATACATACTGTCCAATGCCTGTGCATGATTTACCTTTACATAATACATATAGCTGTGTGGGGTATCATGACTAAATCCTTGTTCCCGTTTCTTATCTGGTGACAGATATTCCCAGGATTGATTCTTTCGGATATAAAGCCCGCCAAAAAGATGAAGTTCAAAACTGTGTGCTACTTACTAGTGCAGCTTATGCACTGCAGGAAGATGTTCAAGGCTGAGATTCCCTTCTCCAATGTCATGAACTGCGAGGACGGTGATAAGGTATAAACTCTCAGTGTCTGTGTTGACGTCTTCTGTGTTTGTCTGTGCTATGATTTGTGTTAATATAGAGGCAAAGAGGTGCACCCTCTGAATGTGTAAAACGTTGTTGTTTAAAAGTTCTAGATTTCTAATTGCCCCTGAATGTGACCTTCATTTTAAGCCAATTTTTTCATTCTCTTAAAGTCGGTGTTTCATTACAGCATATATGATAATGATAATTAAATTAGTGGCGTAAGTTGAGTATTTCAGGTCATGCCTCAGCTCTCTGCTTTAGGATTTTACAAACCAAAGCAAAAGTCCCCAAACTTTTAAGAACATGTAGCACTTTGTTCCAAATTAAAATGAAGAGTAAACACACGTTTTAATAATTGGAATAACATTATTGTGGTGAGTTGAATAGGCCTGTTTTTGGCAGTGTTTTAGACTTCAGGTGTGAGTGCAGCAACCATATGTCACATTGTCAGAGCCCATGTTGTAACTTACCTTTTGACTATTTTTTAACCTTATTGTCATTTAAAGAATTAATGAATTAGCTTTATCCAGATCCAAATGCATTAGGTCTACAATAATGTGACTAGTTCATGTGATGTTGGGTGTAGCCTGGCATCATTTTTACATAACTGTAATGTAATATTAGTCATACTTTTTAATCATTCTGAAATAATTCCCATTAAATGAAATTCTTTTGGTTTTTAGGGGAAAGACTTGGGCCATTAAGAGTGCGAGTAGATGTAATTCCAGCTGTAGCGTTCCACTAACTGAAGCTCACATATCACCAAAGTTACACATACCACAGTTTAAGAATCACTGTGCTAAAGCTTTAAATAACATCGTTCCAACAGGATCGTCCAAGGGGTCCTCTGAAAACATCATGTGGATTCCTTCATGGTTCAGTAGCTTTACAAATGTGAACTCTTGGGCGGTAGATTTACCATGTGTAAGAGATGTGTCTTTTCGTATAGCTGTAACACAAATTAGGTTTTTCTCACCTCATTGAACATTACACAATGCTCTCATGCATTACATGGAAATCAGAACTATCAATATCCCCCATATAGTAATCCCTCTGTAGTGTAGTTAACACAGATTGTGTTTTCTTTTGATGTTTTGTTGCACATAAAAACTTTTTCTGTGCTACAAATTAGCTGAATTAGCAAACCACAGTTTAGTTGAAATAATTCATAATTCCAGGCTTCAAAATGCTTCACAAACTTGCTCTTTAAATTTAACATTTATTTAGGTATAGATATAAAGCTTTCACAAGGTGTATTCATTTATAGTAAGAAGATAGAGGTAGTGACAATAAGTGATGATCATATTAGCTGTAATGACCTCAGACTGGTGCTCTATCACACACACACACACACACACACCCACACACCACACACACACACACACACACACACACACACACACACACACACACACACACACACACACACACATACAGTATTCCCCTCACATCCATATACTATACTGTCAGTGACACAGCGGTCTGGCTACATGTCAATATATCAATATGTCAATATATATATATTTTTTATTAGTATGGAGGTTGGACTCATGATGCTACATATTGTGGATCTTTTCTGATACTGTATGATAGTGTCTGCCCTTGAATCTATATATATATATATATATATATATATATATATATATAACACCTTTGATGATAGCATCCTCCCATTGTAGACAGTAGTCAGATTAGTATAAAATGGACAAATGAAAAAGTAGGGACAGCTTAAGTTATACACACATTTTACACTGAGTAGTTATTTCACATTCAGGCCACACACACTTGAATTGTGTGAAATGGCATATGCATTCAAGGCACGGAGGGGGAGTGATATGAAGGACCAGGGTTGAATGAATAGGATTTTCAGTGCAGCAGACATAGCTGAATGATTGGTCCTGTGCTGCTCGGAGCAAAATATGAAACGTATGGAGAAGTGGGCCTCTGCAGGAGGAGAAATTTGATTGAAGGACAAACAGGAAACACTGGAGGGAGTAAATAAGAAAAGATGAAGCAAGGGTGTGAGGAAGAAGGTAAGGATGAACAGAAATGAAACATGAAAGAAGGACAAAATCAAGGAAGAAAAGCAGGGAGCAGTGTAAAATATACAGGAGCAGGAATGGAAGGGGCGACATATCGGAACAAAGATAGAAACAAGGGATCATAAAGGAGAACATTTTGAGGCATTTAAGTGAAAAGAACGTGCTGTTTTGTAGTGGAGTATATACTGTAGTAGCAAGACAAAATATAAGTAAGAAAGATCCTACAGAAGCTAAGAAGGTTAGAAAGAAAAAGGATGGGTGTACAGAAGCGAGGGAGGAGGAACGAAAGAAAGAATATGTGGATTTTAAATATGAAAAGAAAAATACACAGACACTGAGCTGAGCAATATGGAGCAAAAATCATAGCTCAGTATTTCTTTAGCTGAATGGTGATACACAATACATCACAATATTTAACCTGTAAAGCAATAAACAAAACAAAGTCAGTTCTAAGTCAAATCCACATGGGCCACATTCCAAATGTCACTCAGGTACTTTTATGAACAGCCTGCTGCACAATGTGAACATGTACATGAAAAATAACTTAAAAAAACATTTGTGAAATATTAATAATATTATTAAATAAACATGCTTACTCAGTAAAATAAAATACAATTTTATAAATGTTTAAATTTGCTCAGAGAGAGAGAGAGTGAGAGAGAACACAGTGAAGAGAGGACAGACAGGGAGAGGAAAAATAGGCGGATTAGCTGCTGTTCGTGAGGAACGTATGATGTTTTTTTGACCATGTTTTGTCCTTTATCTCGTTTGAAAATATAGCAATATTTCTTAAAAACTCTATATTTTTCCCAGCCCTAACCGAAACAGAGAGGAGATCGAAGTAAGGCAGGTAATAAGAATGAAAATACAGAAGTTTGGAAGAAAACAAGAAAGAGTAACTCAAAGCATAGAAGGAAATAAGGATGAATATAAGAAAGCACTGAATCATGAATGACATGAAGTAGGCTGTTCAAAAACAGAAACAAATGAAGCAGAGATCAAAAAGACAAACATTTAGAAGTTGGGAAGATAATAAAGAAGCATGTGGGAAGCAGATAAGGAAAGAAATAGTTGAGAAAGCATCAGGAAGCATGGCATGCTGTAGGATCAACATAATGAAAAACAAATGGGAGCAGGGTACGGAAAAATACATTAAAGCACAAAAGGTTGTAAGGAAGAATGTGTAGATGTTGGTTATGAAAAAGGAAGTTAAGATTAACATCAAATAAACAAGGAGGGTAGTAAAGAAAAGAAATATGGAAGCAAGGGGGAAAATGAAGGGAGGAAGCGGGAATAATTAACGGTAAGGAAGGACATTAATATAGAAGAAAGAAAAGGAGGAAATGCAGCAAGTAAACATTCATGTCATGTAATGAACTCATGAACACTTTTCCTCCCTTACTCTGCCACTGAGCTTAACAATTCATCCAGAATGCTCTCTTATATGGACAGACATACGCACACACACACACACACACAAACACACACACACACACACACACACACACATACACACGTACTCTGCCATGTCTCTGGCTTTGCTCCAGTGGCCAATGTTTTGCATAGCTGCTCATTTCGGCTGCTGTAGACACTCAGACTCAGCGGGGTGCGTTCAGTAATGAAGTTAAGTGTGAAGGCAATGGCCTGATTTGGAAGTATAATAAGCTGTTGTTCACTCTTATCCAACCCTGTCCCTAATATGATAACACTCCAATGGTATAGAGAGAATACAGGAAACTGCATTTTAGCCTGTTAATCACACTATTGTTTCTAGAGTTCTTTCTTTTCAATGTCTTTTCTTGTTTTTATCCCCCCTAGCGGAGAGCGATGCGAACAGCTCCACAGAAGCTGAGGAACCGTACCAACACAAACCAGGCTAACTTGATCCAGAGCAGCCCGAGAACCCGGGTCAACCGCTACATCGGCCGGCTGATCGAGGCCCGTCAGACCGAGTCGGACACGGCAGACCTCAACTTCCTCACACTCATGTACAAGTGCTCTGAGCGCGAGCAGAGGGTAGGGGTAACATACTTAATATGCACAGTGAAATGAACTGTCCTATTATGTCACTCACTTGTATCTGCTCTCTGTTTGTACACAGTACCACCAGGTTCCTGATGAGTACTTCACCAGTGCAGTGGTGCTCTCTCTAATCCTAGCTGCCTTGTTTGGCCTTGTCTATCTTCTCATCATACCACAGTATGCTCAGCAAATTCTCTTGTTTTCCCCCTCTCTCTCTCTCTCTCTCTCTCTCTCTCTGTCTCTCTCTCTCTCTCTCTGTCTCTCTCTCTCTCTCTCTCTGTCTCTCTCTCTCTCTCTCTGTCTCGTTGTCTCTCTGTCCCTCTCTCTCTCTCTTCCTGTATCTCTTTTATTGACTCTTTTGAGATTCAGTCTGCTTAACTAACCGTTTCAATCTTCCTCTCTCTCTCTCTCTTTCTACTCAGGGGCACAGTGGTACTTGTTCTTCTCGTCTTCTGCATCTGTTTCCTAGTAGCTTGTATAATGTACCTGCATATAACTAAATTACAGGTAAATACGGCTGCTTTCTTATCCTAACCCTACTGAATACAGGACTTTACTTTTCTCTCAAACCTCTAATTTCAACATTTATCAGTCCTGTGTGAGTTGGTAAGTGTACCCTTCTCGCTTATTCTTTACCCTGCTATGATTCTTGGCGGACTAAAATATAACATGTAAATGCACTATAAAAAGCCATGTAATGACCATTCCCTTTCTTTTTAAATTAGTTGCAATATTACTTTAAAGCCCCTTTGCAGTATTTCAACTTGGATAGCTAGCTCACTTATTTTCAGCTTTTGTTGAGTCTTATGGTTTTCATCAATTCTCCTGATGACATTAAGTAACTCCCTCTCCTCTCTTTCTTCTTTTTACACACCTTACTTGCCTCGTGATATCTCAGTATCTGGCTGCACAACATTTTCATCATTTTTCTCACAAACTATTTTTAACAGCTACTTACACTTTTTGTCCTGTTGTAATCTTCTTGGTACAAGCACATATACTACACACACACACACACACACACAATGTTGGCATGCTTTACATTCCCATCTAATGTTCATTTTCTCTCAGTGTTTTCCAGGGTGCCTGACTATTCAGATCCGCACTGCTCTCTGCATTCTCATAGTGCTCTTAATCTACGCTGTGGCCCAGGCCTGTGTGGTAAGTGGAATAGGTGATGGTTAAATAATAGCCTTCCAAAACACTGCACTTTACTGGCCAACCTGTGAAGGATTAGAATGTTAAACAAGGAAATCAAAAGTATGGTAAACAACAAATGCCAGTTGAGAGAGAACATGGTTGCTGTCAGTCATATGTGCTGCATTTCAGCCTCTTGTGGCTGAAATGGATATCACAACAACAAACTCTTTTTTAAAAAGAGCCCTGAAACACTACCTACTTGGCTTAATGTAAAAGATAACTAAACTCGGTTGATGTCGTTCAAGAGATTTAAACCTTTGTCAGAAAAGAAGCCTCGTAAAAAAAGAGGTGAAACGTCTTTAAGAACGTTTACCAAGTCCAGTTTATTTGAATAACCACGACCCAAATGACTGAGAACATTCACAGACATTTCTGAAACTGTGATAATTCTCCTCACCTTTTTTCACAGACAAAAAAAAAATTATAATAGTTAAGACACTTTTGCTTTTCACCTAATAAAACTACCTTTCCATCCATATCACAGGTGAAAACAGTAACAAAGGAAGATTACCTCAGCAACCTTTCTTTAACCAGTTCAAATGTATTTTTCCATACAGGGTGATTAGAGAAATTATCTTACAAAACTCTTTTGCCAACTTGGCCAAACTTTTATAACCCCCACCTTTTTCACTGATGAAGAAAAAATAATAAACATGGATAATGTTGCGAAACCTTTTTGCCCCCCTTTCCAAGATCAAAACCGCAGGAGAAAGGGTTGAAAATGGATCACTAGTTCTTTCTTTTTTTGTAAAAGTACCACTGAAAAATTCCTCTTAAGTATCCGGCTATCTTCATGACCATTTATCTTCTTGTTTCGCCTCTGTCAGGTGGGCTGTATGCCCTGGTTGTGGGGTAGTGCCAATACCAACAGTTCCATCATCATCATCGATGCGGACGGCGGCGCCAACCACACCATGGCAGAGCTGCCTTGTGACGGTGCCCGATACGCCTTTCTGTCTTGTGTGGTGGGAACACTTACCCTGGCACTTTTCCTGCGGGTCTCCTGGCTGCCAAAGATGGCGCTAATGCTGCTTCTGGGGGTGCTGTACATCACCGTGCTGGAACTCAGTGGCTTTCGCAAGACAGCAGGGTGAGGGTTCACGCCGCACTACAGAAACAGTCATGCAAAGCACTTCTTTTGCATATTTTTTTTTATTTCTGTCCCTGACATACATACATGTATGACAACAGCAAACATCTTATCAGAGCTTAAAGTAAGAGTCCCCTGATCTACTTATGATTGTGCATCATTCGAGTAGCAGAGGCGAAGTGTTTGGCTGTGAATGTCCAGAAAAAGGTTTCTGTGTTTGTTTTAGAGAGAGCAGATAACCAGGAGTTTGGGAGAACATTTACTGTACATGTACTGAGATAAATGTGAGTGGAGGAGTCTTTTGCTTGTCTGCAGCCCACATGCTCTTTCATTTTCCATCCTTTCGGGGCAGCACATGTGCTCATTAGTTCCAAATCAGAAGCCTGAAAGGACACTGTGGGCTGGATGACAGTAGCTGTACAGAGGGGCCCAGCCAATTTCATTGGAGCTCTGAAAATAAACGTGTCCCTGAAAAGTGGTTATGTTGAATTTCTTACAATTATTCAGAGAAAGAATTGTAACTGAAAAACATACTTTGTTGAGATGCACATAATGCATCAGTCAATAATATAATTTTGAATTGTTGGAAATTTCGTTAGTACATTTTTGTGTTGATGTTCCCTATGAAAAAAATATATACATTTTTAATTATTTCTTAAAACTATACTTAAAAATACTCTCTGCACTGTGGGGGGTCCATTCAACTTCTCATGTGTAGTTTTGTGTGTGGTCCAGTCCAGTGCTGACGTGTGTGTTGGTCTCTTCCACAGTGGGGAGTCCTCCCACATCTGGGGCTATGAGCCCATCCTGTCTCTGTTGCTCTTTGTCAGTGCCCTGGCCCTCCACTCCAGGCAACTTGACCTCAAACTACGCTTGGACTTCCTTTGGGCTGTGCAGGTCAGGAAGTGTGTGTATCAGTGTGTCTGTGACAGAGATTTAAATCTAATGATCAAAACACAAGTTTAAAACAGAACAAACAAAGTAGACAAAGTGTACTGTATGAATGGTGACATTTGATCTTTGAAACAAGTAAACTGTTGAGTTATGTTCAGTGGATTTGTACATTTTTGCTGTCTTTTTTTCGGTAAATATGATGGTAAAAGGCTTCATTTAGATTTATGTCTTTTGGCACAACTATAGGGCATAGTGGGACTGAAAGTGTTGTGCAATTTGTGAATTTGAAGCACTTGCTGCTTGTTAAACTCCAAGTCCATACAGAATGCAAATACAGGCCATGTAGGAAGGCTTGTGAAGTTTTATACTGACCCCAAGTGGTGAAAATGTTCAATTTAAGGCTGCATCTGTTTATTTGCTCTTTGCTTCATTTGCTGACAGGCCGAAGAGGAAAGAGACGGCATGGAGAAAGTCAAGCTGGACACAATCGGAGGATTCTCTTCAATCTTCTGCCCGCACACGTGGCTCAACACTTCCTGTTGTCAAACCCCAGGAACATGGTGAGCCTCGCTAATAGACACGCAGACAGACAGACAGACAAACAGGTAGATAAACAGGCAGAAAACCAAAAATAACGTCTGAGTAAGTCATCAAAGGACCTGAATTATCCCTTTTCTGTGCTCTTTCTTTTTCTATTAGGATCTCTACTATCAATCATACGCACAGGTGGGTGTGCTGTTCGCCTCGATCCCTAACTTCAATGATTTCTACATCGAGCTGGATGGTAACAACATGGGAGTGGAGTGCCTCAGACTTCTGAATGAGATCATCGCTGACTTTGATGAGGTGGGTTTGTTTTTTTTTTCTGCTGACTTTCAACATTAACTTCTTGGAGGTTTGTTGCTTTGTGTGTTTATTTGAATGTAAATGGTTTGCAGCTCATGGATAAGGAATGCTACAAAGACATCGAGAAAATCAAAACCATTGGAAGTACATACATGGCAGCAGTGGGCCTTGTCCCGACCATTGGTACCAAGGTGACATGACCCTTGTTTTTCTGTTAGCACATGTATGAATACATAGCTCGTTGCAATGAAGATAATATGAAGGATCATTTTAAACAGATTCTAACTGATTGGTGACCGTATCCCCTTTAGGCCAAAAAATCAGTTTATGACCATTTGAGCACAATAGCGGACTACGCCATCGAGATGTTTGATGTTTTGGATGAAATCAACTACCAGTCATACAATGAGTTTGTTTTGAGAGTGGGTGAGTGTAAACTTGTAATCCTACTATGATACAACTACAAATGAGAGGGTTTTGTATTTATTTAACATTTTCCTTTGTTTGTGTAGGTATCAATGTTGGTCCAGTGGTCGCAGGGGTGATTGGCGCAAGGCGACCTCAGTATGACATCTGGGGGAACACAGTTAATGTGGCCAGCAGGATGGACAGTACTGGAGTACCAGGGAAGATACAGGTATCCAACACACTTTGCAATATTAATCTAAAGACACTTTTCAGATGAGGTTAATTTGATTTACTGACATAGGAAAACAACTATATATATATATACTTCAGTTGTAAAGGTTGCATTAGCTTATAAGTTGGTCAAGTCCTGAGCTGACCCTTTTCAGTGAAGTTCACTCAAAACTTTTAGTTTTAACTTTCAAAAATGTAGTTGAACTTGACTACACGGGTAACCTGCTGTGTTTGACCCTTTGGAAATCTCCTGTTTGCTTTGGCACTGAAATAGGCCCTTCAGCAGAGTGTCCAATCTGCAATATCTATTCATTGTTTCATAACAGAGACGAGTAGTGGAACATGGCCCAGTACCTCAAGTTTGACATTTTTTGATGCAAAAATTGTGTAGTTTTTTTTACTGTGAAGCATGATGCCATATTGACACCCATACAATATAATTTCATACAGAAGACCAAGTGATTCAAAGGATTTTAATTTGATGTTTGATTGAGCTTTGTTGAACCCTGATGAAGAGTTCAATATTTTCCAACATAGATTATGTCAATAATGAATATATTTCTTTGTTGTTTGATACAGGTGACTGAAGAGGTCTATCGCCTACTAAATACCAACTACGACCTGGTGTGCCGTGGCAAAGTGAGTGTCAAGGGTAAAGGTGAGATGCTGACCTACTTCCTGGAGGGGAAGGTTCAGGGCGTGGGCACTGTAACCACTTCCTCAGTGGTGCGTTCCGCCAGCCTGGCGCGTCGGATCCATTCCTGTGGCAAGACTAGTGTCCCGACCAAACTGGGGAGCGTCTCCTCATCCGCTAGCCTTGCTGCTTATGCCAGCATGGGCAGCAACATGCAGATTAACGCTGCCAACAGCAGCAACAGCCAAGCGACATGCCTTCCTTCATCCTGCGTGCCCGCAGTGGGTGAGGAGGACGAGGAAGAGGACGTAGAGGTTACAGGGATTGAGATTGGGGCTGTTGCAGATGTGTCAGTGTAAAAAAGGACAAGACCAAAAAAATTTAAGGAAGAAAGGAAAGAAATCCCTGGTCTGAGGCCTAGAGGAGACAGGGCTGTCCCGGTTCTCCTTTAAATCCTAGCCACTGGTACCAACCAGGACATGCTCGTTCAGGATATGAATATTCTGAGAAATAACATGATGATGCAGACAATCATAGCAGCTCTAAGGAGTGTTTAACTGTGTGAGGGAAAAGGTGAGAAGAAGAAAGACACCCGGAATCAAGAGTCATCTTTTTAACATCTTTTTTCCAGATGATGCAGTTTGTGGTGTTCCTGGGTTCCCACAGATCCAGGTTTACAGTAATGTGCATCTTTGTTTTATAGAACATGCTCCATGTACAAGGGGGTTTGGGAAATTAATATCCAGAAAAAGACTGATCTTGCTATTGCTTTTGCACTGTCTTTCTGAATATGCCAAGGAAACATTGCATTATCTACAGAAGAAATTGTGTTTTTATTTTGTTGGTGTATGTAAGCATGCATGCGTGTATTTGTGAGTGGGTGTAAGCATGTGTGGTCAATTCTGAATTGTAACGAAAACAGCACAAAGTCCTTTTTTTAAATTCTTGGAGCTCATTGGATGAAACTGGCTTTTTATGACATATTTACATTCAATAGTGCATGACTTTTGAATTGTTGACAGCCATAGTTACAGTACTCCTGTTGAAATAAAACCAAAGTATTGAGCTTTCATTAGATCTTTAGTGTTACAGCTTATGTTGCCTCATCACACAACACAGCGAGAGAGAGAGAGAGAGAAAATGTTGCAGTATTCTTGGACACATTTTGTACGTGGGACGTCTTCAAACAACTTTAAAAGTGACTTTTTAACAGAGAGAAATGTACCTGAACTGCAATTATTCATGAGGGTTTAATTTAATATTGCATTAAAGGCTGATGAATGGAGCAAAGGAAGGTGTTTAGTCCTCAAAGTATTTCTAGTTGTAGTGCTGCTATGAAATAAATTAAAGCCAAACTGGATTAGTGACAAAGTATGATTAACATTGCATAAAGGACTAATACACCCTTATGTAGGTGCAAACATACATGTGGAAATCCAGGAACGCATACATCAACAGAGAGGAAATCACATACAGGCACAAACAATAAGCACACAGCTTCTACAAATGCACAATGTAGTCCTTTAGCCAATGCCTTTCAAATGCTCCATGTACATTGACACATCTCTTGAGGCAACAGAAGCTTTGGTGCATCATCCAGCTATACTGTCGTCTTGCAGACATTTATCACTATACTCCAGCTTCTTTGATAAACTCGAGCTTCATTTTGGGAATTCCTCATAAAATGTAAGCTTTGGCACGTCTCTTTCCTCAAATACAGTTTCAGAAATGTGAGGCGCTTCAGATATCTTTATAGCCTGTATCTTTAGCATCATAGAACTTTCACTTTATCTGCAAAAGTGTAATTTCATCATGTTTCAAGTTTTTGCCTTATTAAATAAGCTTACAGTGATTGCAACCTGCCTTTTTAGATATATACACTTTGATATGCAGAGCATACCTTTTTGTAAATAGCCAAAAACTGCAAACTATGTTGTATCTTGTACAGTGTAAAGTTGGTTTATTTGAATATTTTGTAATAAAGACAATATTGGTGTATAAAATAACAAATGAGTAAGGCTGTAAATATCGGTATAAATGTGTAGCTGCTGACACACAAAACACATAGGTGTTAAGGATTGTGGACTAGGATGAAATGGTAAATGGTGATGTTTGTTGATTTTTATGTATGAGAACTATGAGGCCACCAAACATCAATATGTGCATGTAGCATATCAAATGTTAAATGGATAACACATACATCTTTATGGGCAGTCTTCTGTGTTAGTTCTCCACTTAAAAATGGAATCAATCACATTTTATTTCATGGCTCTTAAAGTTAACAGTTTCACTTTGCATGGAAACAAATATATAGGAAAATGTCTCTCAGTGTACTCCCATAGCCAGATGAATGTTACCATGTCCCAAACACTGAGTGGGAACCAAATTTGTTTAGCCAGTGTTAGTGTACACATGGTTGCAGGTTCACTCAGTGCAACAGTTAAGTCAACAAACATTGTGCTTGCACCTTTTTTTTTTTTTTTAGGACAGTAAAGCTGTGGAAGTAATTTAATTAAGAATGAAATAGTTTTGAATAACTTGAAATCAGATGTAATTTCATTTTGAAGTGTGTAAAAAAACTTAAATAGTGCAGCTGTTGTTACAGTTTCACCTTTGTGGTCAAGTTGCCTTACTCCCAGCTACAGTTGACATTAAGCAATAAAGGGAATCTAAGGTGAACACACACAACTCCCACATCATGTCACAAGGGCTAAACAGGCTCAGATGAGTAAATTAAATTCTGACATTTGATTTGACATCTAATTTGATTTTAGAGACCCCAAAGTACTAAGCCCTTTTCTTTTAACTTACATAATGCCGTGGTCACTTTGCTGAGTATTTCTCCTCATGACAAGTAAACTGAACTTTATATCTTAAGTTGGTGACTCATTAAAATAATTTGTTACTAATAAAAAAACAACAATAAGTACAAGTACATTACACTTATTTGATTCAATAGATCATTTTTCTCTGGTTACATTGCCTTCTTCTTCTCCTCTTGTGTCAAAAATGATATCCACCTCCACCTGTCATCTCTGTGTAGTTCAGCTTTAACACCTGATTTCAATGATCAACTAATTAAAGCCTGACACTGCAGGATATTTACATGACATGAAAGCTAGGTCATTAGCCAGCTAAATGGACATTCAGAAGCAAACGGTAAGTAAAAATCGACTTTTGGCTCATGCAGATGCTATCTTTAGTCATTAATAAAAACGTCTGTTCAAATCTCTTAAATTGTGGCAACTCTGTTCTTTGTGTAAAGAACATGATGGAACAAAGGCGACATCTGGAGACCATGCAGGAAGAGACCGAGCCAGAGGAGGAAATCGAGAGAGGCGAAACAGGAGAAGAGAAAGAATATGTTCAAATAAAAGAAGGTATGGAGACTCAGGAGGTAACGGAAGAAGACCAGAGTGAAGAAGATGAACAAGCTGTTTATATTAGGGCCCTGAGACCTAGGCGACTACCTCATTCCCTCAGCAATTCAGAGAGTTATTTAGAAAAGCCATCTACCAGCAATCTTCAGGAGGAAATGGAGCATTTCACCGAGTCCAATCCAAGCACAACTTCAGTGGATTTATTTAATGATTCTACCAAACCTAGGCAGGCAAGATTAAGAAATGAAGAGAGGTCCAGTAGTGGTGAGCTGAGTATAAAGGTAAGACATTTTTGATTATTCAACATTATATATTAGACAACAAACAATACAAATGGGGGGAAAAGATAATGCTCTTTTGATTTATGGTCTCTAAGATCAATTGGCAAAAACACAGACATCAAGTTTTTGCAGCACCTAAACCGTCTGCTCGGAAGAAGACAGGGCGCAAAAGGACAAGGAAAGCTTCTCAAAAAGTGGGTGTTTGTTTTAAGCCATCATTTCCTTTTTACTTGAATAATACAGGTTATATTGTAGTTTTTTTTTTTCCTCATAAAAGTCCTTAATAATATCTCCAAGCAGGAGCCCTTTCCTCAGTGGCTGGTTAACTTGATGGTAAACATCGAAGAGGCAACAGCACACCAGCTGGTGGTTGAGTAATGCTCATCACAAGGTGAGCGCGAAACATGTTGGGCACGGTGATCAATGACCTCTTTGTGGAGCACCGAATGTAGAACAATCTCTTGACGGATTATCATGGTTGGCACTGCCAGGGATTAAAGTCCATGTACAACGTGAAAGCCACAGTTTCTCGTTTTTGGTTATCCACAAATAAACAATATAAGAACAAGATATGTACAATTGAAAGGCAATTCAGGGGCATGTGTTTGCACTTTATTAACCTTGACATACATCAGGCATGTAATTAATAAATCACTAGCACTAGCACTAGTATTCATGAAAAATCCAGTTCCTCCCAACACCTTGAACATGAACCCTTTGACCTTTCTTAGTGGGTGTTCTTTGATTTGAATGCAGTGTACAGTATTATTTCAGAGGCCAAAGCTTTCTCTTCAAACAACATCACATAGGTACACACCACGCACAGATAGTAGTTTATTGAACTTTAGGAGGGCAATGGGTAAGGGGTTATGTTTGAGGTTTTTCATTTACAGTCAGGTTTTGGTTATGATTTTTATTTTATTTTTTTGAAGTTTTTGGAAATTGAGCTGTGAAAATATAAACAAGAATAAAGCTCTTGAAAAACTTTATGAACACAGACTTGATATCTATATCTGTCCTAGGATACCATCGCCATGGAGATAAAACTTAAGGCATTCTTAAACACATGTTTAAAATGTATTTTCCATTGATTTAAGAAATATACAATATTATATTTATATATAAGTAATTGCTTCTCATTACTAATTAAGTGATACTATAAGCTGTGTAAAATGGAATCAATAAAGCTAAGTTTACCTCAAACATGCACTAGTTCTTTCAGAATATATATTCCACAATTTAAATACTCCTGAACCTATCAATTTATATCAGTTTTTCTGTATGCTGAATGTTGTAAATTTAGTTTCTCACAGTTCAAACCATCTTCTCACCACCACCATATAGCACCCAAATTAGTCTAATACTATTTGTTCATCGTGATCTATTTTAAATTATATTCTTCGATATCCATTCTCTGCTTAAAAGCAAAAACAAACAACAGTTACAAAAGGAAGAGCTTGGAGTCATATGGAGTACATTGCATGAGTGGTGTTATTGTGTAAATAGTAAGTGGAGGTATTTGGCAGACATACATATAGTTATAATACATAATACTACACTAATGAAACAACCATTTACTACTGTCTTTCTCCACACAAACATGTTATGATTCAGCCAGAGGGATCCATAATGCTAGGGTTATGCAATGCTAAAGGCGAATGATCTCGTTTATCTGTCTGCCTGATAAGAGGAACAAACAGGGTTTAAGTTAGAAAACAATCTGTTGACATAACTTAACAAAATAACAATCAGAGGTATTGAATCACCAGTCATTAAATCATAGCCTATAACTATATGGATTATTACTTATTCTAGGTGTTATCTATTACCACCTAATTGACACAGTTCTTCCAAAAGCAGCATCCATGTAATTGTTTTCATAACCTTATGTAAAGACAGAGATCAGTAAATTGGTTGTTCAAAAACAGGGTTGTTTTGATGTTCAATCACTTTATGTTCCAAAGTCAATATTGACAACAGACCTTGTGAAACTGGATCTACGCACGTCAAGCAGGGTCATCCATGGTTTAAAGCGACTTTGTCAAAAATATTTTATATACCTAGTTGGCGTGTCAATCATTAACACCTCTAGAGGCCGGACCTCGTATAAATATTGCTGGCTCAGAGAAAGGAGTTTAGAAGGAAAACTACACTTGAACTGAGCAATCCAAAAGGAAGAAGTTATCTACACAAGGACTAGAGATGTCTGGATTATGTGAGAAACTGAGATTAGTGGCAGCAGTTGCTCTGGCTATCTTGGCTGTGGTGAGCTCATCCCCGGTGTTGGGACCGGAGCCTATCCGCTGTGCCGTGTGTTCGCAGGACAAACTGAACGACTGTCCTGCCATCCCAGCAGACTGCAAGCAGGTGCTGAGGGAGCCTGGCTGTGGCTGCTGCATGGCTTGCGCCCTGGAGAGAGGAGCGTCCTGTGGGGTGCACACAGCCCACTGTGGTGAGGGTCTTCGCTGCAGTCCCAGGCCTGGTGAGGCCAGACCGCTGCACGCACTGACCAGAGGACAAGGGGTCTGCACTGAAAACCTGAGCCAAGGTAATCTGAGTTTCATCTCTTTCCCTTGAGTCTAATTTGTTAATGTTTACTACTTTTAAGATCTTAAAATGACAAAAAGCACAAAGAACCATTAGGCATAAGGAATAGATGTTGGACAATGTTAAAAAAACAACATATTTCTTTTAGGTTTTCAGACCAAAGATTAATTGTCAGCATTAAATAATTGATGTAACCATTACAGATGAAGCAGATGGAGCTCCTGAACAAGGCTCCCTGCACTACCTGCTGGGTCTCAACCTTCCTCTTGATCACCAAGACACCGCTGAAGGGCAAGAGAGTTTCAAAGCGAAGATCAATGCCATCCGCAACAAACTGGTTCAAGAGGTAAGGTGGGGGGGAAACCTGACTAGTGAAAATGATTCAAAGTAATCTGGCTTCCTTCCACTAGAGGGAGCACTTGCTTATAAGGAAATATATTTTTATAAGAGATAATGGGGCATTGGATATATTTGGCATTAAATACATGCTGGGTCTCTTTACACGTTTGTGTAGTTCTCACTGTTGCCTGTTTGTCTTTTGCACAGGGTCCCTGTCACATTGAACTGCATGCTGCTCTTGACATGATAGCGAGCTCTCAGCAGACACTAGGAGAGAGGTTCACTACTTTTTACCTCCCTAACTGTGACAAGTACGGCTTCTACAAACCCAAACAGGTGAGAATCGCTGGATTCCTCAGAAAATTAAATTCCGCCCACCTGTTGAAAGAGATTCATCCTAAACCACTGGGTGATTTATTCCTGTGGTTAACCGTCCCCATTTCTCTTTCAGTGTGAGTCATCTCTGACTGGACCGCCGGCTCGCTGCTGGTGTGTCTCTTCCTGGAATGGGAAGAAGATCCCAGGATCCAGTGACTTTCTCGATGACTCAGAGTGTCATCAAGAAGTTAGTCACTAAAGGATGGACACTTTTGATTGCTCATAAACAAACACAGACTCATACACAAACAAATCAAGACAAAAACAAAGAAAAAAAAAAAAAATCTGATGAGTTGACCTCATTTTACGAAAACACACTCATTCACACTAAATCTAATATCCTATTTCAGAGGTGAAAACTTCCTCTCCTTTTATGTATGTATCAAGACTTATTTATTCAGTGCTTGTATATTCAAACTAACCATTTGTCGTTTTTAGATATTTTATATGTTTGCCTATTTTTTTGATTGTAAATAGGGCAACACTGTATACATTTGTGTTTCTGAATAACTCCACTGCTCACAACCACAAGTCCGCAGCTCTGCCAAGCCCATTTCAGAGTCTTCAGGATCAGTTTTTTTTTAAATTCATTCAAAACTGGAGCTGCTCACTGCAAGACACAACACAGCCGCTCATTCATTCAACATGTTGACATTGTCTGAATGTATCTCCGTTGGCGTTTCCTCAATGGGTATTGGGGGGGAAATACTTAAAGGGCCACAAGTATGTACACGGTGGCCAAGCACAAACATATCAAGACTCATCCAGGCCACCATGAGGTTTGGGACTGTTTTTTTTCTGCATTTGTCTACCTCTACAGGTCCACAGGTTCAGCACAGGATCGCTGAAGGCTCTCTTCAGCTACAGCTTTCTCATATTAAGGACTCTTTTATTTGTCTGTTTTGACTTATTCTATCATTTATTCAGGTATTTATTATGATTCACTTGTATATTTATGCTGTTTTTTTTTTTTTGCTACTGAGCTCTTGTGCAGTGAACAGAATTACTGCTGAATGCTATTTGCCAGGAATGCTGCTATTCCATTATTGTTTTGGGGAAACAATGTTCCATGTTTCTGTAATCCTGTGGATGTGCACCCAATTAAAGTGTTATCATGATGAAGTCATGCTTAAATTACTTTTCTCATTGCAATATAATCTATTTCAAACATACAGTCCAATGCAAGAAAACGCAACATGAGAAAAATAATGAAAATGCTACATCTGGATAAATTAATGCTGCCTTTATTAAGGAAAAATAGACCTCTGAGGGTTGCATTGTACATGCAAACAGTATAATTACTTCAACATGGGCAAGTGATGAAAATGATCACTGGCTAACATGAGATGCGAGATAACGGTTCGTGGCCTTTATCCCGAAGAATCAGCTTATGCAAATTTGAAATTGACAACAAAACAGTTACAACCACAGTACAGATCAAAGAAAATCGCTCTTTTCCACGGCTTGAGATCCAGCATAAAAAAAAAAACTTAATACACACTGTAGTTGCACTGCCTTGTCCAACTCCCTCAGGAGCAGGAAGCAACTGGACAATAGGAATTCATAGTGATAGGAATTCATAGTAAGGCACTGCATGCTTACTCTGAACTACATATATTAAACTTACATACATTTCATGTTTGTCATACCAAGCATACATATTATGATGTACACATGTGCAATGCCATTTAATTGTGCGTAAATGAAGAGCGTTCTCATCAAAGTTTGTGACAAGCACAAATGTCTTTTATTCAGAATAACACAACTGAATACTCAGATGTGGTCTCGATTTGGTCATACAAACAGCTTATGAAGACTCCATCCATGGCAGACTGTATCTGTGACATGAAGGCTTCTTCCTCCTGGTAATCTTCCTCTGTTCTCCCTGCTTTGCCTCAGAAAAAGGTCCCACAGGTAACAGATAGAAATAGCAAACATCCATGTATCGGTTGAGCCATCTCTGGACCTCTCTTCCAATATCCTCAGTGTCTCCATTTGTATTTGTTTACAAATCTTCGTGCTCACACTCCCACCCTCCCTCCCTCCGTCCTGCTCCGCTCCTATTGGCTGTCGGAGTTGTAGTACTGGGCGTCTCCTCGCTCCTTCCCATCAAAACCTGGCAAAGGCTGCCCGTATTTGTCCACACACCAGCAGAAGCCTCGCTTTCTGCCTTTGGATGGACGGCACTAGAAGGGACATTTAAAAGTAGGAAAATAATTTAGGTGGGTAGTAGGCAGCTAAATTCACAAATCCAGTTGAAGATGCAGCATTAAGGTTAACAAGGCACTTCACTCAATGCAGTATAACAGCAATAGTTAAGCGGCATTAATGGTCAGATTGTGCTGAGCCTTGGTTATCCAGCACACTGTGGTATTTTGAGCTGCTTTTATGGTCTACCTCCTGTTACACACACATATAGAGACCTTTAAGGTAAACAGAAACCTGGTAAAATATTTGCTTAGTCCCGTTTGTGAACAACTGACAACCAAGATCTATTTTCAGAAGCTGGTGGCCAGTACGAATCATCTGTTGCTGATTACACCCCACAGCTCCAAATTATGGGTACTACAAATGACTTACAGAGCCTGTGCAGCTACCCAAGGGCTGTTATTTTACTGCCAATTTTACTAAAGGTCAACCTCCACTCTAGTAAAACATGCAGCCATTCATTTCAAAGACTAAAGAAACTGCTGCTGCTGCACAGAGAATTCAGAGCTGATCAGGAAGGAAGACATCCTTATTTTTACTCAATATTTTAGCAGGCTTTGACTCATAGGCTGCTCTGAGCTGAAAAGAAAGTCCATCTCTCAGACCAATCCTGCATAAAAGAAGACTAAGTAGATTCAGTGAGACTTAAAACTGTACATTGTCAGAACAACATATTTTGTGAACATAGAATGTATCATGAGGAGTTTATAATAAGTATATAAGTTGCATTACAAAAGGCACTGTGATTCAGGTTTTGGGCTGCATCAGCTGACATCATTAAATATTTGCCAAGTCGTGGGTATTTCTGGAAAAACACATCAAGTGTCATTTTGAGTTTTAAGAAGAGATTATTTCTACTAAAATGATGCAAATGTCCCATTTTAAACTGACTATCTACATCTGCCTGCCACTCCTACAGCGCCTTGGGGCTCAGCGAGGACACAAGGTCCATTCCACTAAAACAAAAACAATGAGCCTGGCATTGTGAGACTGGTTATGAGATGATTGCAGGTCAAGGAGAACACTCCATTAAGCAGGAGGGACTGCTGTGTTATAAGAAAAGCTTCTTGGGTGATGCAGTGGCCCAGGAGCCCTAAGTGCCTCCATATGAATGCGTCAGAACCACTCATTTAGTACAACCCAGATCGTGGGTGAACCATGTGAGCGTGGGGATGGCTGAAGCTCTATTTCTGTGCATGCTTCTCAAAAGTCCAGCAATTATAGGGGGAGCGCATCGGGTGCTGGTGGCCACCTTGACGTCTGTCTCCCTGGGAGGGTTCCCGTTAAACGGCCATCGTCCCAGCCGTCAACCCCACTGGGGTTTGGCCCCTGTGGCTTTCCTCCAGCGCCAGTGGCTAGGGTCTACCTCACTGGTGTGGTGGTGCAATGATGAGGCTCTAATAACTACCAATGAATACAGGAGGACAGCTACAAATCTGTAATTGGGCTGTAGGAGCCCTAAAGTTTGAGTCACTAAGCTATAACACTGAATCCATATTAATGCAGCATGTGAAAAGAGAAATGCTGGTTTCCTTTCTTTAACAGCCTTTGTACACAAAGTTTTTTTATCAAGTAGTTTTAGTAATATGTTGCCACTCATAAAACTGAAGCGTACGATGATCCTTGGATTCTTACCTGCTTTTTCTTATAGAAACCCTTCTTGTCACAGTTTGGTATCCGGAAACCTCTGGGGTTGAGGATGTCTGTAATCTTGAGGCTGCTGAGGATGCTCTCAATCTCCCTCTGACAGGGTCCCTGCAGAGTGGGCAAAGTGAAAACAGTTAGTGTGTACATTGTACAATAAGTCTGCTCATAATACCACATCTTCTAAACCTGAGTGCCACTAATCCCATAAGCACATGCTGTCTCCTTTTGTAGCATAAACCGTTGGACGTTTTTCTAGATAGACATAAGCTGATCCAAAATTGCATCAGACGCTGCCCTACTTTAACAACTGAACAATGGTTGTTGCAATATAAAAGGGGTGTGGATGAAAAATGTATTCATCTAACAAGTTTGTAGCCAGTTTTTAGAACTTCATCATTTTACACAAAGGATGGAGTATACATTAAATTCAAAGCGCCCTAATAAAAAGCCAAAAGGCTTCACTTCAAGTCCAAGTTCTTCAGTCACTAATCAACGCAGCCAGTCAATGCCCATTACTCGTGTGTGCTCACTTTTCTGGCCACAAAGAAGATCAAAATAGCAGCAGGACTTCCTAACAGGCCTTCATATAGGCCAATCCATCATTCGCTGGCTCCCAGTGCACCCGGCACGCGGACGCCTTGTGGCCAAACAATCGCCTGACCCAGGTCAGCCACAGGGCCATCGTACCCGCTCGCTGCCATGCCATTCTGCAGTTCACGATGCCTGCCAACTGTCAGCACCATTACCCAAAACATTTCATCACCCGCAGGGGGAGAAAACACCAAAACACAGAGGAAGAGGAGAAAAACATTCCTCCAGTATGCTCTGAAGACTGAAAAATATTGGTTGCGGTACTTACATACTCAGGCTCCTGTTTTGTTTCCAGTGAGAAGTTTAGTTGGTCTGTGATGAGTGAACCTGGGAGCTCCTCCATCTTAAAGCTCTGGGTTCTCTTCTGCTGTTCCCTGCGAAGGACTTCTGACTTGGCAGAGGGGAAAAAGGGGTGAAGCGGATGCCTCAGTGGTCCCATTGGTCTTTGGGTGCTGTACAATGTTTGAGGGATTAAACCGGTGAAATTCCTCTCCTCATCCTGAGACTCAGTATTATCTGCTGAAATTTATAAAAAAAAAAAAAAAAAAAGTGTTAATTTCAAAAACAGAGGACTAGGAAAAAATCGATTTCTCAGAAAGATAATATACTTAATATACTTATGTCAAATGTGGCAGAAAAGGAATGAAATGTGAAAGATGGCTACCCCCACTTTATTGAAATGTAACCTTGAATGCCTATAGTTGCTTTAACCAAAAGCACACATTTAATAAGGTTACTTTTTCAATATCTGAATTAAAGAGGAAATCTAAAATGATTATTTGCATACGGGTTCAGGGAAGTTGAGGTTTTCTCATGAATTAACCATCTAATCTTTCACATTCTCTTTCCATCAATTAATTATAAATGTTAATGAAATAAATGAATAATCGGTTGTTGAGCTGGATTTCTACTCTAAATGCATGTTATGGACATAAGAGATGATTATTAGGCTCCTTTTAAAACTTACCTCGCACCACAATGGAAATATCTTCACAAATAGAGCCAGAGGTTTTAAACCATCTGACAACTCCACTGCATCTAATCAATGTATCTCACTTTTCAAATATACATGAGGGCAACACACCAAAGAGACTACGGAGCTAGTATTACATTACATACGTGTTAAGTGTGTGCAGGAACCGTGAAGAGCAAACAGAAAAGTATAAATCGTGCACGTGGCACGCAAACTGACGAGGTGCACTGCAGGAGAATTACCTGGAAGTTCATTAACTGGAGGTGTTGGTCTGACGATAAGTCGTTTATTAGTAGCATTTGCACAAATCCCTCGTCCCTCCAGCAGAGCCAGCAGAGGTTTCGTATCCCCGGGCTGATGCTGACATGTGAGTCCGAAGCCACATCTCCCGGTGTACACGCCGCACGGCTGGCCGAAACTCAGCGCGCAGGTCATGCAGCAGCCGCAGCCCGGTTCGCGGACCTTCTCTGCACAGTCCTTGGGTAAAGGTTTGCACAAAAGCCTCGCTCCGGCGTCACATGGCTCGCATTTTATAACCGGTCCGATTGCACCTGACCTTCGAGTGAACGATGCGAGGAGAAAAGTCATGCAAAGTGCGCGAAAGCAGGAATCCATTGTGGCGTCTGAGGGCTTATGGTGTCAAAGTGAGGAAGAGCACTATGTTACTGTGGTGACTTTTCACTGGACAGCTTCTCTCTCATTCACATGAAGCCACCGGACAAAACATCTCAATATATAGACCCCAGTGACTGTACTAGTCACACCCCCGCATAGCTTGTGGTCTACTGATGAATTGCCTCGACTCCGTTATTCTATAAAACCATATGATGAAATTGCGAAGATTAAACAGATCGCTAGAATAATAATTTACTGTATCGACATGTGACTCAGAACAAAATAATATTTAGAAAATAAGAAAAAAAGCTTTTGTTTGCCTTATCTAACAGACTTCATGTCTTGATATTGTCAATATGTTTGAATATTTATTGACCCACAATCAAGGAAATAATCATGCCAAGGTAAATAAAAATAAAAAATGCACTGAACTGTTTTGATATAGACCAATTCTAAGCTTTGGAGCCAACACAAAGTTCATCACATGCAATACACAGAGTCATTCATAGGGGGCGCCCTATGTGTTTTAGTGTGTGCGTGTGTGTGTGTGTGTGTGTGTGTGTGTGTGTGTGTGTGTGTGTGTGTGAGAGAGAGAGAGAGAGAGATATTATTTTAACAACTTGGGCGAATCACTATTTTATTTTCATATTCAAAGGCTTAAATGTTCGTATCTGTTATTACTGTATATAGTTGTTCCCTTAGTTTGTTGTATGATTTGATTTTTGTTGCAAACTGTGCTTGTGTGCACTTCATGTGTCTCGTGTTTGTGTGTCCATTGATTAGTGGCTCAAGAAGCTGCCGCACATGAACCTGCATGACCTGTGTGGTTTTACCACATACACTTGGACAAATCCATGCACAAGATGATCGTATCTAGCTGTAATAAGCTACAACAGATGAAGTATTTAAGACTTGGTGATGAGTGTTAAAAGTACATTCACTCAAATGTTCATGTATGATTTTGTGCCCTTACCTTACCTTTAAATCAATTCTACTATTCCTCTATTACAGAGGCAAATATTGTACATTTCTCTCTTTTTCACTTAACATGTGCACATGGAAAAGTTATCCAATTAAATACTTTTTTATTTATTAAACAACCCAACATGTATAAAAATCTCCAAACTGACAAATGCTTGATAGTAAAATTCTGCCTTCACATTCATTTATCTATATATAAAAATTAAGAACACTCCCCTGGAAGATGTTGATAAAATAAAGTACCTTTACTTTACCACTATTGTATACAATAATAATAACTGAAAGAGTGAATATGTAAATGATAAATCATTTGAGACATTGAACATGTTCATTACTTATGCATATATGCATTTTATATGCTTTCATATAGGCTACGTCAGATCTTTATTTTTAAAAACATTCAAAAAATTGCATTGAACTGCAAAAAGTTGCAGAATATATTTTGGTTTCAGGGCTGAATTTACGAAGAGGATAAAGATGAACCAAGTAATGAGAACATAACTCAAGGAGACCTGCCCATATGGTTATCAATGTTTTGGACTCTGTAAAAATACCTCTCATGTACCTGTTCCCCACATGTACAGTAATACTATGGTCTCTGACCTTGTTGTTAGGATGTGTGACATAGCTGGGCCTGTTCGTCAGTGCTACAAAGCAGACCTTAGAATAAGGACACATACCAAACATGTAAGTGAGAAAATTCCTGAGTAATTACATCTGAAGCATTTTTAGGTCCATGATTAATTGGTTACAGATGAGCGAATGAATGCACCAGCACAAAATGTCCAAACAAACCACCTTAAAAGAATAACAGCAGGAGCAGCAAGGTGTATAGTTCCTCATTGCTTTTGAACATTTTTAAGAAGCCAATGCCAAATCAGTTGCCAACAAGCTCTGGCGTACCGCCACTTGACAGACAGGTCTACAGCAGAGCAGTGCTCAGTGGAATGCCAAACATTTGTTTCATAAGCTGAAAAAAAGCCTGCTGATTTCCCTCCCTCTCCTCTTAGAGCTCTTAGGAAGGAGGTCTCTCAGCCACCTGTGCATATTCAGCATAGCATAGGAGAGAGTCGGGCACAGGGAGTAATGTACTGAAGGAATGCCATCCCACAAGCAGCCACTCAATAAAGGGGAGTGTGAGGAATTAGCTTTAGCACACACAGGATATTACTGTACATGTGTTTAACATAAACTGCTGTCAAAGTCTGTTCTGGCCAACCGCAACTGCTTGTCAAAACCGAATCCGGAGCAATTTTCTACTGTTTTAAGATGATTTGGACTAATGGGATACACTCGCTTGAAGCTCTGAGAGTGGTCTGCATTTGCTCCAGCAGTTGTGTTGTAGCTCTCTGTAGCTTATTGAACTGAAACCGTTTTACTGAAAAGTTTTATTTTAGTATTCAAGGGGAACTTACGTTTTATATAAAGTTGTCCGCTGATGAATCATGATGGCATCGTATGTATTTGATGTATTTTTAATTGTTACACAAAATCCAATTCAATTGTGAAAGGGGCCTGGCACACCTGCCTTGAAAAAAACCAATAAAGTCATACACACCGCAAAGCAAATATCAATAACCACACAAGTGACACACACACACACATATAAAAAGTAACTATTTGTGTGCTTGGGAGAATAGATTTAGAGGTTTTGAGTTTCGCTTAAAGTAGAGACAGTAGTGATGGACCTCAGGTCAGCAGGAAGTTTGTTCCAGGGAGAATGACCACAGTAACTAAAGGCCCCCTTTCCAGACTATGATCTAGGTACGGCTAAGAGACCTCCACCTGGGGTGCTGGTGGCCCAGTGGTTAGAGCGTGCGCCCCATGTATGTAGGCTGTAGTCCTCCAAGCTGGCGGCCCACGTTCAAATCCGACCTGTGGATCCTTTCCCTCATGTCATTCCCTACTCTCTGTCTCCCTGATTTCCAACACTATCCACTGTCCCAGCTCTCCAATAAAGGCACAAAATGCCCCAAAATAAATCTTTAAAAAAAGAAAGAAAAAAAAGGCCTCCACCTGATGACCTGACAGGCCAGGTCAGGTTTAGTCTGTGAGCAGGTAAGAAATGTACTCAGGAGCTGAACCATTGATAGCTTTATGGACTAATAATTATTTTGAAAGTGAACTGTATTGTACAGGGAGCCAATGGAGTTTTTTTAGGACTGGAGTGAATGTTTAAATTTTCTAATACGTGTCAGGACTCTGGCTGCTGAATTTTGAATAAAATTAAGTCTTCCTACAGATTGTTTGGATAATCTGGCATATAGAGCATTGCAGTAATCTAACCTGGGTGAGATGAATGCATAGACTAATTTCTCTGCATAAGTTTGGGATAAGAATGATCAGAATTTTGATCAGAATTTTAAATGGTAAAATCCTGTTCTGGTAATATTGTAGATATGACTGTCAAAGCTAAGGTCAGAATCCAGAATAATGCCAACATTTTTGGCTTGCTCACTGTATTTAGTGGACATGGATTTGAGGTGAATATGGATGTGTTGTGCCTGAATTTTTAGACCAATGGTGAGTATTTCAGTCTGGTCTGTGTTTAGTTTAAAAAAGTTGATGGACATCCTTGAGTTGATATCTTTTATGCAGTCTGTTAGTTTATTTATAGGACTAAGATCTTCAGATGAAAGAGAGATGTACAACTGTGTGTCGTCAGCGTACGAATGGTAAGACATGTTATGTAACTGGATGATTGCTCCAAGCAGAAGCATCTATAGATTAAAGAGTAATGGCCCAAGGACTGACCCTTGAGAGAAACTTCCTGTCTTTTAAATAGGACTTTAACCAGTCAGGCACAGGGCCAATAGAATCATGAAGCCTTTGTACCCAGATTTTCTGGTCAAGGTAGCTTTTAGTTAGATTTTACCTGAGTTATGTCAAGGGATAGATTATATACAATTCATACATATAACCCTTTCATCAAATCGAGGTCTGCAGAACAAGTATGGGTAAAAAAAAATGTTTATGTATGTGCCTATCCCTAAAACTTGAAAATTAACCAAACTCTTTCCCTGTCTAGCCCAGATTTTGAGATGCCAGTTGGGGTACATCTGTCTACATGTGTCTATATATTGTATTTAAGTGTTTTGGAGTGAGAGGGTTTGGGGGATGGGGTTCAGGAATGAGACTGCCACAGATCACATGACAAGTCTGGTAGGGTCACTGTTATTCTTTTATCCCCCGTAGTCTCATGACTGTCTGTCATATAATTGCCCCTGTCTGAAGCTTTTCAGGCACACTCTCATCACATATGAGTTGTAAGCAAATGTCTCTATCATGATTAATACAATCTTCCTTCCCTTTGATTCTGGTCAGACTGGCACCCATACAGGGGTTTGACAATTATCCGATTATAAGATGTGGTTTGAATGGTGAGCAAAATAAAGAGGCGAAAAGGCAAAGGCTACCTTTCATCTAATTCCAGGGTCGGCTAATTATTTTTTTGGAGCGGTCTGTTCGTGTAGCTGTCGTGGTCCCCATTTCTGGAGGCTTGGCCCCCGAGGCAGTCCAAGGCTGTAATTAGGCCTGAGCGTAGTGGAGGACGGAAAGAGAGGAACTCTCAGCACTCAGTCTGACAGATTGCAAAGTGCTCGGAAGTGGGCTGAGAGTGGCGCCGCTCACTTTGGGCCCTGAATCCCCCCTACTGCCAGACAGTATCACTTCCTGAGTCTGTATTTCTATGTCTCGTATTGAAACATTAGAACTTTGAACTTGAATTCACAGATGTATTCATTTTTCTTCACATGTGCAAAACATATTGATTCTCATTTTTGTTTTATTGCTCTCTTTTATCACTTTGCCACTTCGCCTTCTGTTTGACATCAATAATAACTGCTTGAGTAAATCCCATGATTTTCATTACAATATGTACATGAAAACTGTTTCTAATCGAGTAAAAGTTTGTTTTATTCACTATTTAGAATTCTTCTTCTGTGGTGTGTTTTTGAACTTCAATAAAATAAAGCACAAGTGAAACGGACAACTGCATGTAATTTCTTCTTGCAATAGCCCTGTATCATTTTTCTCCCTGACACCAACACACCATTACTCATCGTAAACAAAGACAAAATTATAGTTGGTGGATGAGGGAATAT